AAATGTGCCACGGCTCGTAGATCTGGGTCAGAATAGCACGCATGTTCGCGGTGATCTCGGGCGTCGGACGCACTTCCTCGGTTGGAGGCGGAGGCCAGCGTAGTAGTGAGCAGCTAGAAGGCGTGGGAGAAGAGCGCCAAGATCTCGAAGTGCAGCAAGAACGATACCCAAGTCGTCGGCGCAAGCGCTGAGAAGGCCTCTGCCCAGAGCGGCGAGTTCCAGCTTGAGGCCCTTGATGATGGGATCGAAGACGAGCGCCCAGAGCGCGCCGCTCAAGGGACATCCTTGAGCAACCCCTGATTCTGCGAATCGCAGCGGCCGGCGGATCCCACCAAGCTCGAGAAAGGCAGGTGGCATGTTGTAGCAACTTTGCAAGAGATTGAGAAAGACGCCGTGGATGCCCCATCGCCGTAGAGTAGCCCACAACCACGCGCGCGTAAGACTCGGAAGCGCTGCAGCAATGTCCATGCTGGCGAAGCAGGGCATCAGGGTGGAGGCGTCGCTGTTGATGCTGGCGAGGCGGGCGATAGTGTCAACCTTGACGATGTTGGAGAGAAATTGACGGCCATTGACAAAGCCTTGTTGCTCTTCTTCGGTGTCCGACGCGACGGAGCTGAGGATGCGATTCGTGGCGGATGCGATGATCTTGATGTCATTGTTCTTCATGGCGAGGGGGCGGAGACAGTCAGGGCTGCGGGAGCACTCGTAGTTGCCCATGGGCTCGTCACCCTTGGGAAGCACGGCCATGAGCGCGTAGTTCAAGTCGTAGGGGACCAGGCCGCCGTGAGCAATGGAGTGGAGGAGGTCGTGGAGGATAGCGATGCTGCCGTCGGATCGTACCCAAGCGCGGTAGGGGAGTCCGTCAGGTCCAGGAGCTGAGTCACTGGCGAGTTTAGCTGCGGCTTGGAGTTCAGCAATCCCAAGTAGAGGCAGATGTCGTGGAGGTGCTGGTGGGGATACCATGTCCAGGTACTGCTGCATCGCTGGGGTGCCTACTGACTTGGCGGCAAACACCTTCGACCAGTGAGATTGAATAGCGCTGTGCATGCTCATGGGGTCGTTGGCGACTGTCGGGCCTCTGCTGTCGGCGATGCGGACGCCTGCGAGAATCAGGCGCTTCGAGAACGGCTTCCAGATCTCACTGCGCTGTCCAATACAGCGGGCACGACGTCGCCATTGTCCACCTAGGTCGGGCCGTTGTTCAGCGCAGGCAGCTCGCGAGCGGGCGGAGGCAGCACGACGACGCTGTTCCGCGATCTGGCGTTGCATGGCGGAGTGCTCAGTCTCGAAGGCGGCGCGGTCGACAAGAGAGATCGCGCGGTGGTGGACGTCGATGCGTTGTGCCCCTGCGGTGGTGTCGTTACGAAGCCGCTGGGCAAGAGTGAGGTCCTGGTACCAGATGGCCCTGGCAATACTGCGGAGCGTAAGCGCACGCGCCTCTGCTATGATATGTGAGTCTTCCCTATCCAGTCTCGAAACGAGGGGGCAGACGGGTGCACTTGGGATCGCTCCCTGACCTTCCGCCCCTTCGAGCTGGGATGAGCGCGGCATGTGCGGTGATTGCATAGCCCTCGGAACGAAGGAGCCGATGGGTACACTCGGGGCCGCCCCCTGACCTTCGGCCCTTTCGGGCTGGGACCTCTGGCTCCCGATCGGCATGAGCTCGGAGGCGGAGAAGGCGGTGATGGTGTCGCAAGACGTGCGCGCCGCCAGCTTCATTATGTGCTTCATTGTCCGCCAGTTCGAGATGGGGTCGGCAGAGAAGTCGGCCATCTCGACAAGGCGCTGGAAGTAGAACTTGTAGTGCTTGGACTCGAAGAGGAAGGCAGGTATGCCACGCTCGCTGACTGGGCGCGGTTGTCGAGGTCGAAGTCGTAGATGTAGAAGTTTGCGATCGCTGATGGGCTCTCATTCGCGATCAAGCGGTCTGCCATCGGCGACAAGAAGGGACTCGATATGCGGGATGTTTGACGCGTTGATCGAGACGAAGCATCTGTCGATGGTCGCCTTCGTTGTGATCTCCATCATATGCAAGAAGATGTTCTTCCAGAAGACGGGCTGGTGGTGGTAGCGCTCGGCAGTGGAGTCCGCGGTGGGGTGGGGCAGGCTCTTCGGCGGCGTCTGAGCGATGTTGAAGTCGCCGGCCATGAGGTAGTCGTGGTTGTCAGGGCGAAGGGCAGAACGTTGAGCAGCTGCTTGCCACGCAGCTCTGAAGCGCTGTCGGTCAGAGTCGCTGAGGTCGTAGTTGTGGATGTTGAAGATGGTCGCCTCGTGTTGCCTCGCTCCATCTTGAACGCGTAGTTCACCAATGCGGCCAGGGGCGATCGCGCGAAATGTACGTAGGGGCTGTTGATCAGGTGGTAGTTGGTGTCCGGCTCGATCAAAGGGAACCAGGAAGGCGATGCCGCCTGCGGTCTCCGAGGAGTGGCCGCCTGTCACGAGTGCTGAGTGGAGGGCAATGTACTTGTGGTCGGTGCTCGCGGCCAGGATGTCCATGTCGATGCTGTCGCCGTGGGTCTCTCGGAGGGCGATGACCGCTCGTTGCCGCATGTAGGAGAGCAGCAGCTGGCGCTTGAGGGCACGCCGTGATGCCGATCTGCCGTTGAGCGCCTGCGTGTTCCACGAGACCAGGTTGAAGCCATCGGAGTGTGGTTTCGTGAACCACGGCGACCATCGCGTGCTAAAGCCACCGCGCTGCCTCCAGTGGGTTGGCGAAGGCAGCAGCCAGCGCGGCAGCCAAGGGCTCGTGCTCGGTGATGGGGATGCCAGCGGGAGCAGCTGCGTCAGACCAGCGAACTCGGGTAGCTGCACCAGGTGCGGCTCCAGCCGTGACCTGGACGATGGGGGCGCCGTTGATGGAAAGGAAGCCGCCAGTACGGTGGACCCGAGTCTCGAGCATAGGGAACTTGTCATTGATGAGCTTATTGAGCTTCTTGATTTGTACTTCCTGTCGGACCATGCGTGGTGACTTGTCCGCGGAGACGTAGAGGGCGGCGGGGACAGATTCGGACTCCACTTAGAAGTGACGCCATTCTCGTCCTTGTCGAAGTGCGCGGTGTAATGCCTGGGCTCGCGGAAGAGCAACCGTGTTGCCACCAGTGAGCGTGAACGAGATCCTCCGTGCTGGGCCTTCCGAGTTGATGCGGAGCGCTTTAATGTCCACATCGGCAGCGTCGAACCAGGGGGCCAGCGCGATCTTGAGCGAGGCGACGGAGAACTCTGAGGCAGCACCGCACCAGAAGGTAGCTGCATTCGGTGGACGGTCCCAGGCACCGAGGGCGTCCATGTCCATAGCTGGGTGGAGAGCTTCAGCATGTCGTAGAGCTTGTTGAAGAGCGTCCACACTGGCCTGGAGGTCGCTTTGGAGTCGCTCAGTTCGGTCAGCACGGCCTTTGAGCTCGGCGATGTCCCGCTCGGCAGCCTCCTGGCGGGTGCTGAGCTGCTCGGTGACCTTCGTGACGTTTGCCAGGAACTCGGCTTGCGCAGCAGCATCGACTTGCTTGGAGGTGGCTTCGAAGGCAGCGGTAGCTTTGTCGACCTGGGTCTGGAGAAGATCAGTGAGCTCCTTCCGCTGGTGTGCAGGTAGAGCGGTTGCGGCAAGCTTCTGAGCGCCAGCAGCCCAGGGGTCGACCACCCAGGCGTCCCTGCCCTTGCCCTTGTCGCTGGAGTCGGCAGAGCCTGAGGCGCCAGGAAGTCCCATCGCGAGGCGAGCGAGTCCAAGGCCAGAGCAGCTCGCGTGTGAAATGTAAGCCACGTCCCCGCAGCAAAGTATATGGAGAGGCACAACGCCGCGGGCACGGCGAAGGCGGAAAGCAGTAGTCCTTGCTGTCCCCGGACCAGGGGTCTCTGTGCTCTGCCACGGGGCACAAACATCTTGAGCCAAAATGGCTACGGAGGAGGAGGAGGACGACGACGACGAGGACGAGGAGGAGGGGGGGGGACGAGGAGGAGGAAGAGGAGGAGGATGAGGAGGAGGAGGAGGAGGAGCAGGAGGAAGAGGAGGAGGGAGGAGGAGGACGGGTCGCCCGAGCCCTTCGGAGAAACCCTCCAAGTCCCCCCTTGGGCTTCTCATGCCGAATCCTTTCTCTGACGGCGCCGGGGCCGGGCGAGGGCCCCCGAAAGCTGAAAATTGCTCCCCTCCTCCTCCTCCTCCTCCTCCTCCTCCTCCTCCTCCTCCTCCTCCTTCTCCTCCTGCTCCTCCTCCTCCTCCTCCTCCTCCTCCTCCTCCTCCTCCTCCTCCTCCTCCTCCTCCTCCCTTTCCTAACAGCCTTCCGTCGTGACCTTTTCCAGCGGCTTTCGGGCCATAACTCGGGCCTCAGGCCGCCGTTTGGGAAGATTCCGGCCCCGCTGGAACGCCGTCGGCGAGACGCAGCTGCTGGAAAGCGTCCAGACGCGAGAGAGCATCCAAGAAACAGCGAAAGTCGCTCGGACCTCAGAAAGTTCATGTTTGTGCCAGGGGAGATCGGCGGTCCCAACGAGGTCTTCTTTTACCCAGAGGTCGCGTAACTTTTGGCAATCACACCCGTGGTGGCGTGCTTGTGTGACTCCGTGTTGCCCCCGTGACCCCGAGGGGGCTACGTGACCCCGTGTTGGGCCATGACCGCCGCACCAATACAGAGCCCGTGTGACGGGAACAGAATGGGCGGATCCATACCGTCGAAGATCCGAAGATGTCAGGGGGGGACTCGTGACGTTGACGCTTGGGAATGGGGACGCGGAAGTCCTGTCGCACCAAGGCGCGGCGGGCCAGAACCGGCGGAGCGACACGCGATCGAAAAGTTCCCGACCGCACCGTCGGAGATCCTGAGATGTCACGTAAAGGAAAACACGCCATAAACATGAACTGGCGGCGCTCCGCGCGGATTTCTGGGATCTGCGCTGGGGGAGCCCAGCGCGGATCCAAGAAGTCCGCGCGGAGCGCCAAAAGTTTGTGCTCATGCTGTTGCTTCTCCTTCGAGTCGCGGGGAGACCAGCGGTGGCAGCGAGGCCCTCTCGTATGCCCGAGGGGCCCCCGCGCGCCGCGCCGGGGGCGCAGCGGCCCGCGCCGCGCCGCGGGCGGCAGCGGGCCCCGTCCTGGCCCGCGGCCGCGGCCTTGGGCACAGCACGGCGCACGAGGAGGGCCACGCATCAGTGGCCCGCCGCCGCCGCGAGCGCCGTGGTCGCAGTGGTCCTCCTCCTCCTCCTCGTCGTCGTCGTCGTCGTCGTCGTCGTGGTCGGTCCCCTGCCCGTCCCTCTTGGGGTCGGGTCGACGGTCCGCGGTGGTCGTCGCGTCGTCGTGGTCGTCGTAGTCGCCGTGGTCGTCGTAGTCGTAGTGGTCGTCGTAGTCGCCGTGGTCGTCGTCGTCGTCGTCGTCGTCGTCGCCGCCGCCGTGGTCGCCGTGGTGGCCGTCATCGTCGTCGTCGTCGTCGTCGTCGTCGCCGCCGCCGCCGCCGCCGCCGCCGTGGTCGCCGTGGTCGCCGCCGGGGTTGCCGTCGTCGCCGTCGTCGCCGCGCCGAAGGGGTGGCCGTCGTCTCCGTGGTGCTGTGTGCCTCTGGTGGGAGGCGCACGTCCGACACGAGCGTACAGCACACAGATCTTGTAGTATGCAGTTTCCCGAGCTGCATGGCCAGAAGGCGACCGCCACGGAGCTTCCACAGCAAGATGTATGAGCGAACGCGTCGCCCACATAGTAGAAGTATGTTCGGGCGACGCCGACCACGAGTCTTCTGAGAAGACAGCGAGGGAATAAAGGAGGAGCGAGAGGGGTCTCTCGTCCGCAACATCTATGACCTGTATGAAAACAGCCAGTGATCTCACAGAAGGTCCGTGCAAGTGTAAGCGAAGCGTACCTCGAATCGCGCACCGACGCAATAAAAAACAAAACGTGCTCGCACCCAATGCTAGGGAAGGAACAAACACAATATAGGATCTACCAGAAACAAGGACGATATGGAACCTGTGTACTTGAGGAGCATGAGAGGATGGGTTTGGGATATGTTGTGCTCATGTTGGGTCGAATGACATCATCGCGTTTCGCGCAAAAAGTACGGCGGACTGTTTTCGGCAGTGTCTGGTCTCCTGGAGCCCTCACCAAGCCCCGGGACCGTCAGAACGCGATGCAAAACGAGAAACCGATCCCCGGGAAAAGGTTTATATGATACCGGAAAAAACATCATAATCATTTTAGGACTATAGGGCTATGGGGCTCTAAGGCTATAGGGCCATAGGGCCATAGAGCTATAGGGCTGTAGGGCTATAGGGCTACTGGGCCCATGGGGCTCTGGGGCTATGGGGCTAAAGGGCTATAGGGCCGTAGGCGTATAGGTCTATCGGACTATGGGGCTATATGGCGATTAGAACCATATGGCTGTAGGGCTTTAGGGTAATAGGGCTATTGGGTTATGGGGCTATAGGCAGGAAGAGCTATAGGGTTATAAGACTATTGGGCAATTGGGCTATAAGGCTATAAGGCTGTAAGGCTATAGGGTTATAGGGCTATAAGGCTATAGGGCTATAGGGCTATAGGGCGATTGGGCTATAGGGCTATAGGGCTGTAGGGCTATGGAACTACAGGCCTATCGGCCTGTAGGGCTATAGGACTACAGGCCAATCGGGCTATAGGACTATAGGGTTATAGGGTTATAGGGAATTAGGGCTAAAGGGCTACAGGGCTATAGGGCTATAAGGCTATAACGCTATAGGGCTATATGTTTATAGGGTTATTAGATTGTGGGGCTAAAGGGCTATTGGGCTATGGGGCTAAAGGGCTATAGGGCTATAGGGCTATAGGCTAGAAAGCTATAGAGCTATAGAGCTATAGGGCTATAGGGCTGTAGGGCTATCAGGCACCCGGGCACCGGGGCATCCGGGCACCTGGGCACCCGGGCAATTGGCAAACTTCACCCAACCATATGTATCCGCTCGGACCCCTACAAAGGCAAGCTCTGATTCGGGAACTTCTGTGGACCGCACTATAAGGCATCAGCAGCGTTGGGCAGGAGTTCTCGGGGTCGCACTGTAAAAGGATGGCGCGATCTGCTTTGAATCCGCCTGGGGATCTGCCTAGAACGTTGGTTGAGCCTCCGCTGGGGCCGATCGAAATAGATATTGTCTAGGCTGCCAGGGTGCCGACACGCGGCAGCGCCTCCCCCTTCCCCCTCTCCCTCCCCCTCCTCCTCTTCCTCCTCCTCCTCCTCTTCCTCCTCCTCCTCCTCCTTCTCCTCCTCCTCCTCCTCCTGTTCCTCCTCCTCCTCCTCCTCCTCCTCATCCGTCTCTTTCTCTGACGCTGCTTAACTGGCAGCTTTGCCGCGTCGTTCAAAGCGATTGTCGGCGTTCTGCGTTTCTGGCGGCATAACATTGGTCCTTCCATGCTGTTTGGGGAGCCACGCTGCGACAAAGATACGAATGTCTGGGTGAGAAGACGTGCTTTGGAGCAGCAGCACAGGAATATGATCATAATAAGATGAGCATAGAAGGCAAAAGAGGAGGATCATAAGATGATGAGCATCAGAGGATGGGTTGTTCCCACATGTGGCGCTGTCCAAGGGACCCTTAATTTTTGTTGTCCTACAGGGCGAAGGGCGCGGGGACTTTCCCCGCCGGCGTTTTCAGGGGTCGCCTGGGGTTGCCAAGAGCTGCCCAGGGTACGCCCGCCACGGTCGACCGGGCGAGGGAATCCTTATACTCGTTCACGAGGTGGTCGGCCTCGGCTGGAATAGGCACCCTGGATGTTACTTTTATTTTAGAGGGGGGGGTCACATTTGGGAGGGGGGTCTGATTTGAGCTGTCTTGTAGGGTTCGGTGGGGTCTGGGCAAAAGGCCGCCCTTTTATGGCTGGTCTGGGAAGGGGCCTGAAACTTCGCGTCGGGGAAAGCTGTGGCCCCCTTTCTTCTATTGCGAAATCTGGGGCGTCCCTCCACGAGGCCAATGAAAGGTTCTTCGCGCAGGAGTTTGCTTGGGTGGGGCGCCTCCCACAACGAATGGAACGCCATACAGATCAGGTGGAGCATGGTCAAGCGGTCTCCTCGCTGCCGCCCACGGATGGGCCAGGGCCGAAAGGATACTAGCCGCCACGGCTAAAGTCCAAATACAGACCTCTCAACGGGCATAGGTCTGTGAGGAAACGGCCAAAAGAGCCTCGCGCAATTCCGCAACCGTGGGCGCGCAGTTCATTCTTTTGAAGAGAAAAGAAGATGTGCCATGGTCATGATTCCATCGTTTCTGTCTAGCCGCCCATGAGCTGTGCGTTATGCCTCCCAGCACATAGTCGCGCGCGCACGGCCTCCACATCTTCGAAAACGCTCTCGACCCCTTGGCAAACGTCATGCCGCGCAGTCCACCCACGCAGATGGGTGACCCCTTCGTAATTGCGGCGCAGAGCGCCATTCAACCCCTGAGATCTGTGCAGACGAACGCCGCGAATCGCGCCTCCACTCGCGACAATGGAACGGGGCGATCCTCCCTGCGCCCCTCGATACGCCCAGCTTTCGTAAACTATTTCGGGCCATTGTCGCCGACTCCTTCTGCAACAGCGACTCCTCCCTCTGCGGCGCGCACGAGTTCCTCGCTGGGCACTGGGGCGCCGGTCTGCGCAGCGCTTTGTCGCTCCAGACCGCTGCGCCTGCGCTCTGGCAGCAGTGCGCGTCCTGCTCGAGAATAATAACGGCTTCGTCTGACGTGGGCACGACTGCGATTTGCCTGACCAGGCGAAACAAATTGCCTGCAATCGCGGGAAAAAAAAGCGGCCGACGGGGAGCGCGGAGGGCAACCGCGCCCCGCGCAAGAAGCTGCACGCAGGCGCTGCGCACAGCGCGGCGTGAGGCCACCACCACGACGACCACCAACACCAGCAGCAGCACCGCAACCATCACGGCGACACCCTGCACTGCCACCATCACGACCGCGACCAGCATCGCCACGACGACGGCGACCAGCAGCCAAACGACGACGACCAGCAGCATCACCGGCACCACGACGACAAGCAGCATTACCAGCAGTACCACCACGACGACTACGACGCCCAGCACCACCACCGCACCGCCACCACCAAGGCTGCGACCGACACCAGCACCGTCGCGGCTGCGACCAGCTGCGCCTCAGCGAGCACCACGAGCAAAGCAGCCCAGCCCGTTCTCCGAGGGACGCGCACGGGGGGCTGCGGGGCCAGCGGGTCGGAGAAGCGAGCCACCCGGGGCCGCCCGACGAGCCACCAGCGACGCCGCCGCGAGGGCGATCGCAGAGGGAGCACATCTCGGGCGAATCTGCGCCACTGCCCGCAGAGGCTGAGACGCCACGCAGCGAGCTTGTCCGGTCCCCAGGGCCGCTCCCTTTCGCCGGGGCCAACAGGACCGAACCACTTCAGCGCTGACTTCGGGCAGGCGCCAGAGGGCGCGCAGAACTTCGCGGACGCATTCACACCGCGAAGAAGCGCCGGGCAGGGCGAGGCAGCAGCAGCTGTTGCAGCAGCAACAGCAGCAATAACAGCAGCAGCAGCAACAGCAGCAGCAGCAGCGGCAGAGGCAGCGGCAGCGGCAGCAACAGTGCCAGAGGCGCCTGAACGACCGCCAGCGCCACCAGACGAGGCCAGCACCTGCGTCGCGCGCCAGGAAGAGATCCCGCAAGACAGGACAGGGAGGGACACTCCAGCGCAAGAGGCCTGCTGCGGCGCCCACTTCCACTCGGGCTGCCGCGCCGACTTGGCCCGCCCTCTGGGAGAGGCAACCATTTGCCCGCAATGCTAAGCCTGACTGCCGACCACCGCCGAGCTACGGGCAAGGCGCGCGGCGCAAGACGTGGACCCAGTCCGACCGCCGCCCACGGCCCAGGACACACGTGCCCAGACCGCCCCCGCCAATAACGGCGTCAGGAGCTTCGCAGAAGGCGAAGAGCCACCGCCACCGGAGCCACCGCTGCTCCGAGCGCTCTGCTGCCGACGCGCCGGCCCGCCCCCAGAGTTCACCGACCTGCGCGGCCGCCGCGTGGAAGGGCCCCCCGAGGTCGCAGCGAGAGACACCAGCGGGAGGATCGCGCAGTGGCTCGAGACCCGGGCGCGCCCGCGCTGCGGGGCGCCCTGCGCCGTCGGCGCGCTCGCGCCAC